GCGGCCGGCGGAGTAGACACTAGTTGCCAGGACTGTGTCTGGGCGGCGTGGCGAGGGCCACTGTGCGCGACGGCAGGGGGACGGAGAAGGACGCTCTGGGATCGGGGCATCCGCAGGTGTCCCCGACACCCTTCTTGGGCCCCTCGTTCCCCGCACTGGGGTGGGTGTGTGTCGGTCAGGGTCGCAGCTGGGGTACTAATGAGGCAGCAGTGAGTTGAGACGGGATTCGAACCCAGGGCTCTCGTCCCGGGCCGAACGGGGGAGGTGCTTCTTGGAAAAACTGACGCTGATCTCTCCCTGAGGCCCAGCTAGAAATGTTGATTCACAAACAAACATTTACTGCACGCGGCTGGCGAGCGTGTGTCAGGAGCGCCAAAGGCTGGGTTTAACCTGGAACACAGCCTGGCCTGACTTGGGGTCTCAGTTTCCCCTTCTGAAAACCAGAGACCGAGCGAGGGCTCTGGGCTCCGCCGGACCTAGATTCAAATGCCAGCGCGGCCACTGCCAGGCTGTGTGACCTCAACCCGTTCCTTTATCTCTCTGCGCTTGGGTGTCTCAGGGGTGCTGGGCTGGGACGTTTCCCAAAGGGGCGCGACAGGCAGAGGCTGGGCGGTGGAGCCTTGAATGTCAAGTCCAAGGGTTTAGGCTCGTCTCCCAGCCCCTGGAGGGCCGTAGAGGGCTTATGAGCACCTCAGGGATTGGTTGCAGGAAACTGGCCTCCGGCCCCTGTTCTCTGCCATATTCTCATTATCTGTTGAACCACATGGGTGATGACTGGCCCTCCGGGTCCTGGGCCTTCTCCAGGGAGGGCTGTGCAGGTGGTCAGCGCTCAGTAGATGCTCACTTCCCCATTGACATCTGCCAGTACTGATTTCAAAAAGACCCCACCTGCGAGTAAGAGGGAGGCCGCCAAGTGTTTTTCCCAAATGTTACTGAAAGTGACTAATGATGGGAGAGGGGGTGGGGGTAAGGAACCAGGTGAGGGGCAGGGAGAGGATGTGGGACTGGTTTGTGTGTGAAGGTGGGGGTGGGCAGGAAGTTTTGCAGGAACCTGTGGGTTTCACTTTTGCTTCTGCACCTCAGTCGAGAAGACAATCCCTGGGGCTGTGGCTCTATGGCCTCAGTTTCTCCAGGCTGGGAAATGGGTACATCTGGTCTCTCCCACCTCCTGGCCTGTTGGGATTGACACAGGGTGACTTAATTATCTGGGGAGGCATGACCTGCGCTGTGACAATGCAGCAGGCCCTGCAAGCCGACAGTACTTGTCCCCACCACCATTTATTTACCCCACGCTGGCCCAACGCGGAGCTTGGCATATCGGTTTTATCAGATCTTCCCAGCCCCTTGCCTGGTGTACAGACGGGGAGCTGAGGCTCAGAGGAACAGCTGGACGCAGGCTGGGTCCAAACACCAGCCCCCACGCCTGCGTGCCGCCTGGGTTAGTGGCTGACCCCGCTTTCCCACACCTCGGCCTGCTCTGTGCCTTCCCCGGGACACTGTTCCTGTTCCTGTGAAGCTGGAGGTTTCCTCTCCCTCCCCGTGCAGAGCGCTGTGCTGTGGCTGAGCTGCGTTGGCAGCTGGGGTGTGTGGGCTGCTGCACTTGCCAAGCAAGTAGAGCTGTTGCTGGGCGACTGTTCTG